TAGGAGATGCTGTTCACGCTATGAATCCTTGGGTTGGAATAGGTTTGTTTGTATTACATTATGCTTCTTTGTGAAATCAAACCTTAATTTATTTCCTCCAGGTTTTTCTTTAGGAACAAATTGTGCATTTGAAGACTCTCAATTACTTTCGAATGCTTTAGCTAATTTTGAAGAAGCTAATTGGAAAGAAAATATTCGAAATTATGAATTAGGATTAAGAAGCCGCGGATCTTTTTACGTGAATCTAACAAGAGTAGAATGTCTTGAACAACATCAAATTTGTGATAATTGGTTGAGTTCAATGATTCGAATCTTTATCTTTGTTTACAAAAGTTCAATGATTTATATTATTTCTTGGTGGAATGGTGATGGAAAAGAGTATAACGTTATTAATAAAGATGATTAAGAAAAAAATGTATCATTAATACATTTCCAGATCTTCATTACTATTGACAAAATACCATAATCACATATTCAATTATGTATTTATTGATTCAAAATCCTTAGATCGTAATGCTGATTTTCTTAGATCGTCTTTATTTTGTTATATCATCTCTATGTAAAATTCGGACAAAAATTGAGTTTTTCTTTATCAAGTATTTAGTTAATGATAAATTATAACTGATACTATCTTTTTGCTGGTTGTACTTTATCTTCTTTTTTTGGATAATTATATATAATTTCATCTAAATTTACAAGTATGATACGATGATGCGTATAAAACGATCATACAATATTTGTTATACAACTATTCGAACCTAAATTAAAATTTAAATAAAAAAAAAATTATTTTTTAAATTCAACACATTATAAATCTATTATTTTTAATATACGAAATTTTCATACTTGAAATTTAAAAAAAACATTGTTTTAAATTTTATATTTCTAATTTTGTTTTAGTAATATTCTGTAAATAAAATTTACAAAGTTTATTTCAAATTTTGATCTTTAATTAAAGTTAATATTATAATGTTTTTAAGAAAAATCAATATCTATATATATATTAATTAGTATCTTTTTATATTAATTTAAATGAAATTTTTAATTTTAAAGGAACCGAATTTAAGTATTGATTCTGGAACTAATTTGTGAAAAGTTAATTTTTTTTAAAAAATTTTTTTTTATAAGGAGACGACTTTGTAAACATCGGATTTTTAATCCATAATATAATAATATAATAGTAAAAAGGGCGTAAAAATAACCTTTTGTTCTTTGGAGTATGGCCTTTATTAAAAATATGTATTATACAAATTTTATTATTTAAATTAAAATATGCTTGCAAAATTTCGTTCTAATTAAGACCGTTTTAAATTTCGCAATGATCGACAAAATTGATTGGTTAACTGAAACCTCGATTTTCTCGAAATCACGTGACCGACCGAGCCCCGGCCGCGCGTCCCCATATAAAGAAATTAATTATTTGTATAAACTAAATTTCGCGATTTTTTTTTATTTTTGTTGCAGATCCTTATGAATCATACTATACCTTCAAATTTATGGCAATTTTAACAATTTTAACAAATTTTTCCTTCGAAGTTTTTGGATTTTTATGAATATTATTGGTTAGATTGTGCTAATTTCATGATGCAGCAATAAAAATAAATTTTTTTTTTTTAAATTTAATTTTTATTTAAGAAAGGTATTAAAGAAAATGTAAATCTCACCATTACCACCTTTTGAATCTATTTTCCTATTGATATTGATTCTGATACCAAAAATATCAATACTAGTAGTGTAGTTTAGTTTAAAAAATGTAAAATTAATTCATTTGCTAATATAATTACCCTATTTTTTTAAATGATCCTTGTGTTGCAAGATATGCAAGTTAATTTAGCTAATACACTACACATAAAAAGGCGTTTCCATATAATCGAAAGGGAGAAAATACAATGAGTCTTGTAGCATTATAAAGGAAAACTACATGGGACGTTGGATGAGTTTAATGATGTATTGTTATATTATTTTATTTTAAATTTGGCTTTTATACTTAATGCTTTTATTTAATTAATTTATTAACGTTAATAGCAATGACGTGATAAAACAAATCAAGTAACATTTAAGCAGCAGTTTCATGTTCACTAAAATGGCAAGAACTTATCACACAAGCTTATTACTTTTATTATAAGCTTATTCAACCATTCTATTATATATTTTACAAATCCTTCTTTTCGTGAATTATTATTACTTATGAACCCAAATTTAAAATAACATGTAATAAGTAATAAACTGTAAAAGTAATATTTATATGAAGTAAAGATCTGCAATCATATTTCATACCTACACTCAGGAAGTATTTACTATTGCAACAGATAATAATGCTTTTATGATTAAAGCTATTTGATTATTAATATATATTATAAATAGAAATCAAAATTATATCATTATGATATGGATTCAATGTAAATCTATATCATTTATAATATCGTAATTTATGGATATTGTATGTTGCGTTATTTATATTGGTTAACGTCACTTTGTGATGTTAACTAATGTAAATAATCACCGTACAATATCTAAAGCATATCATGAGATTTGTTTCTGTTAGTATCTTGTTTGTTGGTTCGGAAAATCTATTGGTAATGACTTTTTCAAGTAAACTTTCTCTTTGAAAAGAATACAATCATTTCATGATTTTTGTTCTTACCATATATAAAGGAGGCAAGCCGCCTAAACTTTCAACCAGCATAGGACTAACCATATCAAATTTTGGTTCAAGATTTTGTTGTATGCACAGCCATCTTTTTTTTAGTCAATTTTAACTTGAGCTACCTTTATTATTTTCATCAATTTCTTTGTTATTATCAAACGAATACCGCGAAAAATAATAGGGTTTATTTAAAAATGTATTTTAAGTATTAATTTATAAAATGAATACTTTAATTATCCAAGCTAATTTTAGTTTAAAAAATTTTCCGCAGAAGTATTTTAATATAAATTGATCATTATCCTATATAAATGATGTTTGCTTTATTCTAGTGGTTAATTCTCAACTTTTAAATATGCGATTCCTTATACATTTGAAAAATATTTTATTTAAAATTTTTTTTTAGTTATTGTGAATTTGCCTTTACTTAGAAATGAATTAATCACTACAAATTTCACGATACTAATGATAAGTCTTTAAACTTACGATGAATAATAGCTTATTAGAATATTATATTAAATAATAGATTTTAAAAAGGCTAATATTAAATTAAGATAGAAAACAAATTATTTTTCGATAATTAGCTATTGATTTCAATATTGAAAGCAAATAAGCTAATGTTCAATATTGTACGATCAATGCAAAATAAAGTCTATTATAAAAAAATATATATATAGGTCAAATAAACTCAGCATGATCCTATAGGGCCGTGCGATAATAAATTTATAGGTTCTTTGATCAATATTTTATTTATCTCTCATAATTCATATACTTATATGGAAGTCCAGTTAATGTACAAAAGTTATGCTATTATTTCAAATATTGAAATGAAGAAAACTTTCTTCTTTTTACGTTAGTAGATTGATGGTTCGAATGTAAAGAATGTAAAGAAGAAATTTAATGTACATTATTAAATTTATAACATAATAATTCATATAATTTTTATTACAAAAAAAGTTAAAAATCGACATTTATTCATAAGTAATATTAAAAAAATTGTATAAATTATGAAATTAAATAAATATAATAATAGTAAATTATATCGCAATAAAGAAATTATAAAAAGTTATTATCTATATTGAAGGTATATTTAGAAGTTAGGCATATTTTGTAATTATAATAATAAATTTTTGATAAAGTATTAGGTAAAGTTGGTAAACTTGTTATTTGAGCTTTATAGTAATAGAGTACTGTTAAAAAGGTGGGTAAATTTGGTAAATTAGATATCCAAGAATTAGAGCAGTTAAGTTAAGGAGTCAAGTTATATGAGTATTATGTAGAATTTTTGTAATCTTTGCAATCCTCCTAAGATGTTTAATATGTAAGTCTTATTGTATTACACGTAAACTTGTAATAGTATCATCGTAAAAAAAATTTGACACTCATCATACAATTCCAATTCTTCTACATTCATCTGATTAAAATTTTGAAATGTTCGAGATAATTTCACTAGTAATGAATTATTAACAATTTGATTATTTGCTTCACTATTTGTTTTTGCAATAATTGAATAATATTTATACTTTGTTTATAAGGGAAAAAATGATTTCAATTTGCATGAGGTACTACATTTGTTGTGATTTTTTGATTAAATTAAAGGTTACATTTTTTAGAAGATTTATTTGAAACTCTGTAATGGTAATGAAATTTTAAGACATATAGTTAATTGGATTATTACTAAATCAAATCATATATATAATCCGCAACGTGACTTTAATATGTCAAAATTATATATTTGAAAAAAAATATTTATTTTCTTATAATTACAAATATAAATGTTTACATAATCTATAAGTGTACCAGATAAAATCCTTTCTCGAAATCCTCGTGAAATCTCTAGCCAAACCAATGTCATAAATTTCACCTTTAACATAAAAAGGAGGTCTACCACTAGATATTTCCCATAAGAGTACGCCAACGCTGTAAATATCACCTTTTCATTAAGTGTATATCGTCGAGAAGTATTATCACTTGATTTTCTATTATACTATTTAAGGAATTACTCCAAATATTTTTGACTGATTAGTCGCCTCTTCAATTCCCTTCGATAATCAAAATCCGCAAGTTTGATAATACCTTGACGAATTAATATATTGCTGGAATGCTATTATATATATAATGCATGAAATTATTTGTTAATTATTTGTTTACCGGCAATAATTATCAAATAAAGATAAGCAAGATTACCAAATCACGATGCAAAATTACTTCCTCATGTAAACGCGACACAACACAAGCCAACTGGTATGCAAAGTAGTATTTATCTCTTACAAGTAAATTTTTCAAAATTATCCTTTAATTAGTTCCACCATCGGCATATTCCATTACTACCAATACTTTTTCAATTGATAATTTTAATTATCTTTAAAATATAAAATTGATTAAAAATAAATAAAAAAAAAATAAAAATGTCAATAATAATATACTGTATCTTAATGAAACATTATTATAAACATACATTATTTGAAGTTGTTCCACAAAAGCGGATAATATTATCAAGAAAATCAACTTTACGTTGAAATTTAAGCTAAATTATTGCAAATATAAATTTTAGTTTTGATATATAAATGCCTTTATACTAAAGCAGACTGGAATAGACGGAATAGGAAAAACATATTAAATTTAGTAAAATACCTCACGAACTATTTCTTTAATAATTGCATTGCTAAAATTTTTAAACGATTATAATGCGAAAAAATGTTTGAAAGTTTTCTAATTCGCTCGATAAACTTTTCCAAAGCTGCCAGTACCAATATTTTGCATATTATTAAAATGTTTGTATTCGTAGTATTTGATAAATTTTCTTGAAATTGATTCTTCAATCCAATTATCGAATAATTGACATCTTGCATTTTTTTTTAATTTTTGTTTTTTTGCGAAATTATAAAGTTTCTTGAAAAAAAAATAAAAAAATCGTAACCAAATTGATAAACGTTTTTTGGATTAGCCGTAAGGTGGAAACAGTTCAGGCACATGATATCGTTGTGCACACCAAAAATAAAAGATTACGTTACAATGTTGACTATTTGTGATAAATATATTGATTAGATTATAAATGGAACCGTTTCACTTGATGCTATTATATCTAATATTTCAATTATCCAGTAATTATGGAATCTTTTGTTGAAATGTATCGATATCAAATATTCTTAAATTCTTACAATATTTTCCTAATAACATAACAATCGTTGATGGATCTGTTGCTAATTTTGCTTTGATTTAATGTTATTCTAATTGATCGTAAGGAATTTTTTGCATTGCTCGTATTACTCGTAAAACTATTTCGGTAGCGGCAGAAAAAAAAGGTTAATTGGGAAAAAAAATTTTTTATTAAGTATATTTGACAATAATTTTTTTTATAAGTTATAAATATTTAATACCTTTCCCACACACGTTCAGACATTTTTGGATCATATTAATACTTTTAACGATTCCTAAACTTAACAGTCTCACTTAAAGCATCGTGATATTCCGATTCATCATTTCTGTTGCCATCGTTTGATCTTTACAGGTAGAAGGTATGTTTGTATTATTATTCAAAAGTTGTTGTCCTATAGTAACCAGCGTTGACATTTCCATCCGTTTTTCTTGTTCATCATCATCGTCATAATTTTTATCCCAATTCTCATAATTGTCTATTGACTATTGACGAATTATTATTTATTCCAACTCCAAAGGAAGTAAATACGATCATTGCAATTTTCAGCAAAAAATTTAATTAATTTATCATCAATCTAATTCATCTACTTGTATTTTTATTATGAAATTTCCATAAGGCATTAATGGATTTTTGGATAGAGTATTTTCAATGAATTATTCTCTATCAACTTCTATAATCGATAAATGAATGTCTTTGGGTCTTGCATTAAGTGCATTATGATAGAGATTGGAACCGGTTAAATTTAACTCAGGCCGGCATTATAAATTTGGGCAAAACTAGGCAAATTTTGTAATTGCAAAAAATTTTAATTCTGCCCGAAAATTAAATTTCGGCCAGAGTTAACATTAGTTATTTTAACCGGTTAAAAAATAATCTTTAACCGGTTAACAAGATAAACGTCTTAACCGGTTAATTAACCGGTGTCCAACCTCTACATTATGATAAACGTGCTAAACAAAAAGTCGCTTGATCGGCTGAATAATTTAAAATAATTTTTTTTTTCTTTTAAGAAACAAAAAAAGGATCTGAAAAATTTTTTAAATAAAAATCACTTTAATATGTCGAAATATAAAGAAGGTCATATTGTCGTCTGTCATACCATTTTCGGATTTGCCGTGGAGGAAATACTGCTGCGGAAATAATTTTTTTTTTTTTTTTTTTTTTTAATATTATCCATTTTGTGAATTTGCAGTTTTTCGGGCAGTTCGTCTCCCTAGAAAAATTATTTATATAGAATTATTCGTTATCGTTATTAATAATATTAATAAGGATAAACGCGATGCAGCCGTTTTAAATATCCGTATACTTTCAATTTACTTTTTTTTCACGATTTCGTATTATTTATTTAGCAAATAAATCAGCTCGGTAATTAATTAATTAATTATTTTTGTTTATTAACATTATACATCATGCATTTTATTCTTCTTATTTTTGATGGAGGATCAGATTTAGGGATTTGTATCGATTCTAAAATGTAGAATCTATTAAAGAATCGATTAATCGCGTTTATTCTAATCGTTTTTATAAAGAAGTGATTTTGATCATAATTTAATAGGGAATCAATTTTCGTTTTGTTTAATCGATTCTAATCTATCTTTGACTTAATTTGACTTATTAATAATTAATTTTTTTTTTACAGTTTGGTTGATTTCTTCGGAAGTTTTTTTTGGGATTTTTTTATATTGTTTTTTTTTTATGATTTATTTTGACTATGAATTGGATTCATGAGATATGTTAGTTTAAATTGTTTGTTTTTTGTTTTTGTTTTATTTTTTTTTTATTTTTAAATTTTTATTATTTTTCAAACGATCGATTTTTCTTTTGATCGATCATTCACTTTATTTTAGCTTATTTTTTCTTTATAGCACACAGTAAAAAAGATTCTTCGATTTTCGATTAATTCGATTTTGATAGAAACCCTAATACTAATATAATAAGTTTTATTAAATTTTTTTTTTATTGTTCGTTATTTATTTATTTATATTTTATTTTTATTAAAGATTTTAAAAAAAAATATTTTACATTTTTTTTAATTTTGTTAAAATTATGCTTATTACTACTACAAAAAGCAAAAGGTACACGCACATTTTTTCAGAAATTAGATTTTACATATGTAAGCTGAAACCTAAGCTGAAACCTAAAAGAAGAAAGAATGTAAAAAATTTTATAACAAAAAAAAAATAACACCAAGATATCTTTGTTTGCTCTCAAATTTCTTTAGAAGTTTCTTCGTCAATCCGTCATATTATAGAATTTATCAATTCAGATTAAATACAAAAAGAGGAAAGGCCAATTTGGATGATGTACATGAAATAGAAGAGCTTTTTTTTCTAATAACTCTAGTCAAAATCGAACATATATTTAAAAAGAAAATAATGGTCATTTATATGCTTCCGGGGATATGACACATATATTTCGTCGCTGCATTAAATGTAATCCTTTAAAATTAGAAATTTATATGCGCAACTGAATTGCAATTTAAATTTAGTTTTACAACAGACTGCATGCATTATGTTAATCTGAAAACAATATATATTGATTAACAACACTGCTCACTAGAAATTTTCGAATTTTAGAATTTTCGAACGGTATCACGACTTTTGTTCCTGCATAAATAGACTTTTCTCCTGTTTCAAAGTTAAGAATTCTAAAAATTTTAATTGGAATATTCATTTTAGTATCAATTCGGAAAGAATCTTAATTTTCCCAAACGGTGGAAATAGTGTATTAAATAAACTATAGAAGTAACGTGAATTTTTCGAATTTTTCAAATTTCAAGCAGAGGAAATTCTAAATTGTTTCATACGCCTCAAATTTTTATGCTTCAATAAACATTGTGTAACTTAAAAGAGTAAATAGTTTAATAAGTTTATTTAGAAATACAAACATTTTATTATCTTCCTATTCCATTGCCACAATGACATATATTCGTAGAGAATTAGTTAATAAGCTATATAATAAAGTATTTACATTAGTAAATAACTCTGACATCGACAAAGAGTTTGAATTGAGACAACAAGCTATTATAGCTGATAAATCTCTTACAGATGATGAAAAATCAGAGGTAATAAAAATTTTATCAACTAATTATGAAAATGATAAAGTTAAGTTTAATCGAGGAAAGAAAAGAATTTGTGAGAACTGCCAACAAGAATGTTTAGCGATATCATATTGTGAATTTTGTATTCGAAATTATTTAAAAGCTAAATTCATAAATTGGACGTCTGGAAATGAAGAAATTGATGAATTAATAAAGAAATGTCAAATGGAAACAATTTTCCA